TTCTTTACTCCTTTGAACGTCTGACTCGGTAAGCCCTGGATTTTGTTTCCTTCTAAGCTTCTATAGAAATAAAAGTTTCAGATACATTTTAAGGCATTTTCTTATCTCATACTTATATTAAAGATATCCATAATTCTATCTATATGTTCTGTAACTCACGAATTCGCTTACTTGTTAGGTTTACAAAAGTCGAGATCTTTTGTTTAATTGCGAATTATTGAAGGAATTTCACATAAATGCCCATTCCAAAATGTGAGTAACAAAGTACACTTACAAATCTTTAAGACTTCCCAGAGTTTGGAAAGACGTTTCAATCGACGTGATTTTGTTTTCCTCAATTTTTCTGTTAAAAAAAAAAAAGCAGAAGATTGCATTTTATGTCAATAAGTACACACATTCCACTTGGAGCTTTCCCATAAACTAGCAAGGGTATTTAGAAATGAGCTGGAGACCGCGACTTCGGATTTAGTAAATAAGTAATTCGGGCTTGGGTTTGGTTCACCACCCACCTACCCATCCCTCAACCAGTTGGTGTTTGTTATTGATCTATCATTACAAAGCAAAGGGAAGTATTATGAGAATGATTTTGACGCAGTTAAAAAGCTGTTATCAAGCTTTACAGACACCAACCTATATGTGGTTAACTGGTGTTCATTATTCCTTTTAATGATGTTTACACACCGAGCATCAAAAGGCCGTTTGGCTGAGACTATTTTGATTGATTCATAACCGAGAGGATGTTATTAGAGATGGTTGTTTCTCCAGTTAGAAATGTTAGGTACCTTTGACCTAGAATTTTAAGCGAGTTACAATAAGATATGAAAGGAAAAGTTATGTACTTACAAGAATTTGATCATATTTGATTGTGGAAATGCGTCTTCAGAAATGTGTGTGATTTCATTTTTCGCAAGATTCCTACAAAGACAAAATACGATGAAAGGATAATAAATACGTTTAACATCAAGATAATGTCAGCTATAATTCCCAAATAGTAACGATAAGATGTAAAAAAATTATTTCCAGCGCCCAATTTTGCAATGGTTGTTTCTTTGGACCCAAAGGTAAAAGCTCCTGTTTCACATCTCCAGGATTTGCTATTTTTATTTAAATACTTACAGAACCTCCAGATACTCGACTCCTTCAAACGTCCGACTTGGCAGGCTTTGGATTTTGTTTCCCTTTAGAGTCCTAAGAGGTTAGTGGCAAAGAAAACAGATGACTTAAGTAGGTGTGCGTTTACATTCTTCAATCTTGTTCCTCACCAATCTGGTAAAATTCAGGACTAGTCTGGATGTATCCATATTCACATGGAAATTTCACTAATCCGTTTATTCGTTTTGTTCTTTTCTTAATTTATCCATTTATCATTCTAATCACCATTAGTGTATAACACACCGGTGAATGGTGCTTTTCGCGCGCGCTGATTGGCTAGGTCGGAGGCGATAAGCAGAGTCCCATTCACCTCTGAGGAGTCGATGAGACAAAATCGCGAGGAAAGTTTTTAAAATATCCCACCATCGTTCGGCATATTGACAGAAACGAACTATTTTTTAGTTTCTGTGTGGTATATACCAACACACCTATCTACCTCCACTTCGGTGAAAATTATTAATTACACATCTGAATGGCGTTACTTACAAGTCTTTAAGATTTTTCAGATTTTGCAAGGACCCTTCTATCGACGTGATCTCGTTGTGCTCAATTTTTCTGTTGGAAGAAAACAAGACATTCGTTAAGCAAGGTAAAATCCGTACAACTATCTCTCCATAAACTGGTCTATAACCTAACATGAATCGATAGATGCGAACAGCTTTCAAACGATTGTCGAAAAGAAGGCAAGAGATTGATTTGCTTCACTGCGCAAAGTAATTGAACCTCTCCTTCAACCAATCAGCTGCAGAACCCAAACCAATCATGACTTGGTGACAGGCGTTTTCCCGCGTTTAAGACTGCATACATCTTTTAACTTTGGTTTCTTATAGGTTTCCTTAGATATCTTCCTTTGTTCTGCTTATGAACCGTTCTGATTACTTTGGTCTGAATTTTACGCAACTCAATCGTAATGCGTTCTAAATGTCATACTTACAGAACAGACAGCGATTTGCACTCGGATAGGTCCGGTAAACGCTCAATTTTGTTGAAATCTAGAGTTCTGTAGGGATGAGGAGAAGAAGCCTGATTATCCACGGTAGCAACCAAAATTCATGGAACTACGGAACTTAAATCTTTGCTAGAAGCACCACGAAAAAAGGTTGAAGGTTTTGACAAAAGTGATAAAATCTAATGTGATGTTTACGTCCTCTTGAAAATCTCGTTAAACCATCCTTGCTTTCATTACAACGGCAATATCAAAATCGTTGAAAAAAGAGGCAAGGTACCCAATCTATTATCTTCTGTTATTTTGCGTTTCTTAGTATCCAGGGGTGCGTTTAGAGTTGTTTGACAAAGTACAACTATACTCTACTTACAGTTCCACCAATTCCTTCAGATTCTGGCAAAGATTCGTAGGTAATTCTCTAATTTTGTTGACAGTCAGAGTCCTGAAACAAACAAAAGCAATCAGACCACCAAATAATAATCAGCTCATAATCCGTCATAAAGATTCGAAGTAGAAGACCAAGTCAAGAAGTTTTATATCTGACTTAATCCAACCAAAAGATATCTCGTTTCTTAATCATTTGCTAAGGTAAAAAAAACATTATTCAGCAATACGTACAGGTACTGGAGAGAAGATGTGCCCGTCAGGTTTGGAAATTTTTCCAAACGTAAATTAACCAGTCTCCTGAAAAACATCGAAGTAAAACGAAAAAAATTAAAATATGAATAAAACATCATTTGATGTGTTTAATGCTGGAATCGAAGTAATTTTTTCGATCGTTTTCTTTTCACATCCATACATCTCATCGATAACTCAATATCCACAAAAGGTTATCCGTGCTGCCAATGTCTGTTAGAAATGGCACCAAGGGCGCTGAGTTTGAGGGAAGTGTGATGAACTAGCAAGTTTTTTTTTAGCAACACGGGGAAGAAAAAATACTCCCCCGTCTTTTCAAGTTGGAAAAAAGGATTTAATCAACGTTATGGGAAAATAAACTTTCACAAAAATGTGTCAGAACTTACAGTCGGGTTTTTAGTTTTGGTAGGTTGGCAAAAGCGTTGTGACCAACAGAGTTCAGCTTCTCCCAAGTGAAACGTCTGCAAAGTGGTAAAAATAAGTCAATGAACTGTAACAAGTTACAGACCTTGACTCTTTCACTCCCCAGGCTGACCAGAAGACAATTTATCTTTAGTAATCCAACAAATTTTCAAGCAAAAAGAAAATGAAATTGAAATTAAACAATGAAGAAAATTAATAGTAACATCTTAGTAGTGATGGGGTTAAAAAAAGGTCGTATTTTGGTTCAGGTCATAGGCCAATGGTATGCTTTCTAAGGGCCATTTGGAAACACATCCATCTGGACTTCGCAAGGAAATTTTATTTGTTTAAAATTTAGACAGCTTTGATTCCAGTTCTCCTAGAGAACGTTGCTTAAGAATTACAAAAGCAAAGGAAACAAACTCAGAAAGAGGGAATTTGAAACAACAAGAGAAAAATAAAGGGGCGCTATCCGACAACAATACTTACAACGTCTGGAGTTTAACGAGTCCCTTAAACGCATGGTCGGGAATTTCATCGATCGGATTGGAACTAAGTTCCCTGTTTGGAAGGAAAAATAAAACTCAAGTTGCGAACACAGAGTGTGGACAGCAGAATACTGATCCTCTCTTAAACTGCTTAAAGTTGAAAAAAAGAATTTAAAGTGCTTTTTTTCCTTGAAAGCTGGTACTCTTTTAAACTATAGTCAATCAAAAATAATATGTGGAATGAATCCTGTGAGAACATGAGAATGTAGGGCAACTACAATTGGGTGTCGACAGTAATTCGGGTTTGCTTTGGTTTTATTTTGCTTTGCTCCGTGATTGGTCCAAAAAAAATCGCGTCGTACCCTCAACCAATCAGATACAAAACAAAAACTAGTCGCGACTTAGTCACCCGCGTTTTCCCGCGCTTTAGTTTTCACTATGTATTCACTATGAGATCTCATAGGCTCCTCAGGGTTTTTTCCTTTCCTTTGATTGGCCGTTGTGATTTCTTTGGTTTATGTTTTATGAGTCTCAATCCAATAGCGCTGTATGAATGATTCTCACAGGTCAACTGCACTTATAGTAATAGCAGTAAGGCCTAGACGGAGCCTGACGTCATGACTACCAGATTACAGTATGTAAGTCAAACATTGAAATGACGACATTTGATGTTCAGCAAGTTCATTAACATTGTCCTCAGACTCACTTCATAGTTTGTTCCTGATCGAAGAATACGAAAACACTTACAAGTGGGAAATGTTCTTGACATCTTTGAGAGAAACAGGTACTTGGCTAAGGTTATTATCCATCAAGCTTCTAAAACAAAGAAGAAAAACAAAATTTACTGAGCTTTGTCCATTGATGGAGCCTTTTTTTTGTTGCTATATTGCAAAATTACCGCTGTTATAGAAGTGACCATACGAAAATATGCGCTCTTGAGACGGAAGTATGGTTAGTATCACATTTCTTTTGGGTATATCTATACTTAGTTCGCTATTTAAATCTAGCATTGAATTTCTTAAAAATGAAGGTAAAATCATAATAGCTTTAGCATATACTCACAAATACTTCAAAGAGTCCAGCCCTTTGAATCCGTCGTCTTCGATCTCTCTTATTTCATTGTTGAAACATATTCTTCACCAAAGAAAGAAAAAGGAAAATTAAAAATATTAAGTAAAAGGAATGAAAAAGGACACGAATGGATTTCATTCTTTGTCTGTACTTAAAACCAAAAACTATTATCGGTACATTAAGTGTCAGTTAGACGACAACCAGTTGCGAAAATGTTGAGACATCTTAAAATACAATTTAAGTTTATCGTGTGATACGCTTAGCTATCCAAGTGTGACATTACGCAATGAAATGACGCACCAGCTAATTTACAGGTATTCCACATAAATTAAAATTAAATTTAAAGTAAATACTATAACATACTTTAAAATTTCAGAAGGTTTACGTCAGCATCGTAAAATACAATCTAAAATAATTCCACTTTACGCCAAGAAGTAAAAACGATAATCTTGTGCACTTACAATAATATAACAAAAAGTAAAAAGTTAGGTTGAAAGACCCAAAACTTCAATTTTCTTTATGCTGTTTTTGAAGGCCTTAAGAGTTCTAACAGCTCTGTGTGCATGACTCTGGTAGAAGATTCTACAGCTTTGGAACTAGGTAACGCCACAATTTCAATCCGTGGGTTGTGGTGTTGAGCAGTTTTAGAATGTCGGCCGGTTTTCCTCAGATCGTATTTAGTGTTTCTAATATCTAGTAACATTTTTTGCTTTCAGGAGCATGATCGTAATTAATAGCTTTAAAAACCGCACAAACTAGTTTGTGAGTCTTTCATTAGTCAATGATGGTAACTTTATCTTAATGAGTAGTTCCTGGTGGTGCGTGTGTTTTACATCAAAAACAACTCGTACAGCACGTTCGTTTACTTTTTCCAGTTTTGCACTGGCACCTGTACTGTGGTAGTGCCAGGTCTCAGAACAATAGTTGAAATGGGGAAAAATTGATAAAAAGGAAGATATCCTTTCTTGTTTCAAAGGGAAGCATCTTTTCCATATACTTGAGCAACTTGCCGAGAGACTCCTCTGAATACTCTCGCTACACGCGTTTCAAATTTTAGTTTCTCATCTAACGTTATTCCTAACAGTTCAAAATCTTCGGTAATGGGGATTTGGTAACGGTGTTTTGATGATAAAACTGAGGCGCGGTTTGCGTTGTTACCATGACAATTGCTTGGTAATTTGCTGGGTTTCTCTTCATATCATTTTCCTCGTACCATACGTCTACACGACGGAGGTCATTGAGAAAAAAGTGCGTTTACCGATTTCATCAAATGGCCAAGAACTTGGGTACCAAAAAAAAACCAAAATCTGCCCTCCTTCCTCAATTCACATGTTGTTTATCGAAGTTTTGTAGATGTTATGTTACTGCTAAGCTAGAAACATTGTAAAGAGGGGAGGGAGTAGAGGAATACATTATGTTGGATCACATGGTGAATAATTATCTCTTGTCAAGGTAATATGTCTCAACTACTTTTGCAACTGGCTGTAGCTCTTTACTGCAGTCTCAGGAGCTGAAATTATGTACTTTGGGTATTCTTTCCATTCGAGACTTCAACTCATGAGCTTGTAAGTGCTCAGTGCCAGAAATACAGGAGGTTGTTTAGCCTTCTTGGGGAGAACCCAGCTTCCCACCCTTTGTAACCCTTTAGTCCTATTTTTACTTTTGACATTTTTATCAGAATGTTGAAGGAATTAAATACTCACAGCGACTCAAGCTTGGACTGACTTTGGAAAGAACTGTTTCTTATTATGCGAATCTTGTTTGACTCAAGATTCCTAAAAAAGAAAGGAGAATTAAGTCAACCCTTTATTTATTAAACGGAGGAAAAACTAGTTACAAAATAAGTAATAGTGTAGTTTGATCGTTCGGGTGAGTGTAGTCCTGAGAAGGACTGTTGTCGGTAGTGGTGATTGACGTTTCGAAACCTGAGCGGAAGTCGTCATCAGAGTCAAGTGAATAGTTGTTGTCAGTCGAATGTTCCAAGTCCGGTTTGTAGAAACTAATTGGTCAGTTTTACCGTGATGCTATTGGCTGTAAGACTCAAGTGGCGTTCGTCGTTGGTGGTGATTGGTCGGTCTCGACCCGTTAGTAAAGTTAGGTCGTTCTTTTCGGTTCGTTTGTAATGTTGATGTCGTGAATGAGTCGTTTGTATGGTGCCGGTAGTGGTTGACACCTGTTGAGGGGAGTCTTTTCTTAGTTAGTAAACCAGCTTTCCGGAGTCAGTCGTTGAAAGTAGTCGGTGCTGTTGGTTAGATATTGCGCCGAGTCCCAGTCCATAGTCTGGTTCGTAAGTCGGTGATGTTCAGCAATGTGATTGTTGACATCGCCTTTCCTCGTCGCTCGCTTGTGTTCAGTCAGTCTAGTTGTAAGGTTATTGCCAGTCTCATTGATGTAGGAGGCGTGGCTGTCGGAGCAATTGATCTTATAAACTGCTCCCTGTCTGTTCCTCAGTTCGTCTTTGACGTCAGTCAGTTACTGACGTAGTGTGGTAATGGGTTTGTGAGCAACGCGGATATTGAAGGGTTCTAGGATGCAAAAGATGTTCTCAGATATGTCCTTTATGTACGGTATAGTCGCTGTAGTCGTAGGAGTTGCGTTGTCGTTAGCTTCGTTAGTAGTAGTAGTTCGGTGACTGTTTCGTGGGATGAAGTCTTCCTTGCCCACTATAACTTGTTACCCCCGGGTTTAAACCATTTACTGTATGAATTAAAAATAAGTTGCATACATACAAATATTTAAGTTCTTTTAGACTTTTCAAAGCTTCCGCTGGGACTTCTGTAAGGTTGTTGTTATCAAGCCAGCTAAAATCAAGAATAGAAGGGTAAATATTTTAAAAAAAATGTACGTACCATAAAAAAACAATAAAGAAAAAGTACATACATTGGACTCCCGATAACAGGTACTTTGGAGAAGAACATAAAAAAGGCTTGAGTTTAAGAAACGTCGGACTGTGGTCATGTTTACTGAGTATGGCCCCACTGACTTAAACCCTAATTAATGATTCTTTTGTATCTTGTCGGCTAAAATTTTGGAACCTCCTTCAAGTCTAAGGAAGTAGTGCGAAGCGATAAAATAAGGACTCGAAAAAAAGTTGTGAGGCTCTTTTAAATCGAAACGTTTAAGTCATAGCCATGGGTCCCTGTAACAGATCCATTATTAACACCAGGTTGATCCCTCTCAGTAAGGAACATTTAAAGAAAAAAAACAGCAAAAAAATGTATCAAAGGTATTAAAGGTATGCCTTAGCAATGTACTTCAGCAAGAATCGTGAAACAAAATAGCAAAAATAATGAATAAATGAATAAGTCAATAAAGATATCTGAATACAGGAAAGGGTCCAGATATAAGAATGTCATTGAAAACCACGTAACAGTCATTTTAGCTTACAGGTGCTCAATATTCGGAACTTCTTTGAAAACCCCAGCTTTAATGGTGTTCATTTTGTTCCCTGTTAAATATCTGAGAGAAAAAAGAAAGAAATCAGTTTAAATAATTATTAGGTGGATCAATATGATATGGTATTCAAGTACTTACAGCTCGTTTAAGGATTTCAGGTGAACTCCAAACTCTGGACAAGTCTTTAAGTCATTATCTTTAAGTGATCTAAGAGGCAAGATATGCGAGGTTAATGTCAAATTATTTAATTCTTGTTACACTTCAGATCATAGAGAATGCCGAGTAAAAGATAATCTCATTTGCCATTCAGAGGTAACGAAAACTCACAGTATCCTGAGATGCTTGAGTCCTTCAAAGGCATTAGGGTGAACATGATACAGCTTATTTCCATTCAAAGTCCTAAGAAAAGGGAGAAGCAAGAACACTTTTGTGAGCGTCATGAGCACGTCACTAGCCCCTTACGGCATACCGAAGCTTGACTTCGTTAGTATAAGGCGACTAAGGGCATTATTGGTCTTCCTACACGGTGTTGCTTATTCATCAAAGGTCACCGCTGAGAAACCCGTATTCCCGTGAGAGTTAGTTGGTACTCACTTTAACAGTACATAAGCAGTGTGGGGTTTTATTTCAAAAGTTGTCTTGTTATAGTTATAAACGGCCGACCTATTGAAGAAACTCTTGGAACATTGTCCTCGTGAACGTAAATCAGACGGTGGATAAGCTCTCGGAATCATATTCAAGGATAACCGAGGATTTACGACTGAAAAAGTAAAATAATTTTCCTTCTAACGTGGTAGGAAAGAGAAACAAAGGTAGGATACATTTCCGAGAGGAGTTTCATTAAAGGAATTACTTTAGTTATGGACGAGCATTCACTTGTATTTGAACTGACTTTTTAGAAGTCGTTTAGAAGTCGTTTAGAAACGATTTCTAAACAAACTGTTGTGCTGTGTCAGTAGGCGAGTAAAAGAATTTCGCTCCAACCATCAGCTTATGCTATGGACGTCGGTTTTTTAAAACTGGCTTCGGGGGCTTATCTTGCTTTATCCTCCTATGATTAAGAACCATTTTCTTAAACGAGTATTGGTATATTCTGTACACTATACTGGAAAAATTAGCCTACATCTTTTTAGTTTTTCACTTGCAACATATTTTACAGTCTTGAAATATTCTTCATTCTTAGCCATCTTTTTTCCATATTGGTTTCAATATTCAGGTCTCCTCACTTTTTTTCCTTAACAAACTGATATTGTCATCTGAAGGTAACGTCACGACGAATGAATAAAAAATATCACAATCTTTCTTCCTTCAAACGCGTATCCACATTTTAAAACTTCGTAAAACTTTTCAAACAAAAATTTTTCCTTCAAAAAATTTAACTCGGCAATTGAGATAAAACCCTTGCTGATTTCTAAATCTTGCCGATAACTGTGTGGGTGGTGAAGTCAATGCTATTTTCCACATTAAAATTAAAGCTGATTTTTTTTGCGGCGCCTTATCATGATAGATAAATAACACAAAGTGTTTGAATTAGGACCACAAATCAAATTTTCAGACAGAAAAACTCCCACATGCAAAAGGAAATAAGGATTATACGCAGTGATTTTCTAATGTTTCAAAGTTGCCGCTTTGAAAGAAAATATTTTCATTTCACATTTACAGGATATGTTTGAATTTGAGCTAAAAGTCATTATTATTTTTTGTTCTCCACGAATCTTCGGCTGAATTGGTTTTGTAAAAAAAAACTTCTTTTTTAGCGACAAAATTAAAAAGCGAAAGTTTTGCAAAAGTGCTCTTGGCAAATATCATTTAGGACAGTTTTTCTAATATGTTTCTCTTTGTAAACAATCCATTTGTGTTTAGCTCTCCTCCTTCTGGCCAGGGGCGATGTAACTAATAAGCCAAAGAAGACCCAATTCATGGCGTCAAAAGCCATACGCTGGCTTACAATATGAAATTATCCTGTTCATCAGCTATGTCTCAAGCGTCTTGTGTGGCAGAACACAACAGAGAGTACAAATCTAATAAACTGAATTGCTTTTGTCTTTCGACACGAGCTCTGATTTCTCGTAAGCCATAGTAATTCGTACTTCCCAGTACTTTGATGATGCGCTTTCTGTGACCTGACTACCACCGAAATAGACCTCTTTGGTAAGGTTGTGGTCTGATGTGTTCATCCTCTTTCAACTTGGTGTTTAATTCGTGTAAATCCTTATGTACCCTGTAATATATAACAGGTTGTCCCAGTAACTCTTTCAAAACTACAACAACATCGTCGACCTAGACGCAACATTATATAATCGTGTAGGAGCTAGCGGCCAAACAAAAACATCAGAGAAAAGACAGAAACATCGGGAAAAATTGGTCTCGCTCAGATTGATCTGTTTTTACCTGTCTTAACTAGGAGTCTTGACTCAATTATTTGTTGTAATGTTATTACACTACGGTACACTTCTAATTCAATTTGAAGACAATCATTGATTCTATATTTTCAATGACTTTTTTTCTCGCAGGGGGGTTTTCAAGTGACAATTTTAACATTGCAGTGTCCCCTGTCTCTGGATAAAATTTGATCTAATTAGTTTTTTTTTTTTCGTCGCCGGATATGATTGTTTTGAATGTGATCTTTGACTGAGTTGATACTCTCCCTTTCACGTGATAACAACATGAAGAAAATTAGCATTCCGTCCATCGATATTTTTAACCCATCAGAAGCCTGTACGCTACAAGTCCTCTTGATAAATTCTCTCAAGAGCATGACAAATTAATGACGCACAATAATTTCATTGTCTAAAATGAGAGAGTTGGAGGAACTCTCGAGATTACTGAACACGCACAAATGGGTCATCTTAAAAAAAAAAACCCTCTGGATCACGGTTGGCTTAATATGCCTTTTAAAGTAGAAAAAAGACTGTAACAACAATTAATTATTATGACATTGTTTTCTTAAACATGTTTAAGTCAATTCAAATGATTAAGTGCTTTCTATATACCTCCTGGGAGAGTGAAAGCGTGTGTGGTAGTTTGGACTTCAGATGACCTTAACTAAAAGCTTTGAGGAAGTTATCTGGATATTTTCAGAAACGTTCAGAAACAAAAAGTTTTCTGTTGTCTGCATCTCTCATCAAGACAAAGATAATACCGGATGTTCTTATGAGTGCTATTCGCTACTCCATGTATTATTTCGTTTAGCTTGACATAATTAATCCCCAGTTACAGATGGGCGGCTTCTTTCAGCCGGCAAACAGTCAGCAAGTAGTTGGGTACCTCACGATATTTCGCGTACTTTCTAAGGCGAGAATAATTATCTTTTGTGGGAATGAAACCACGCATTATCAGTCTGGAAAAATAAAAAAAACCACAAAGGGAAGAAACACTACAACGGAAGGCAGTGAAGATGATAAATGCGATGGAACAGATTGACACAAATAGCAAATAAAGACATTGTGGGTTTTTTTAGAGTATCGAATTCATGTAAGACAAGTCAAGCAATTGGTTTTGCCCACGACTTCAGAGTTGCCTTTTCATTTGCTTTGTGAAAACCTTAGCAGAACAGTCGCGAACAATGAAAGAAGACGAGAAGAGTACATTAAGCGCAGCTCCACCAAATCTTAAAACAAGTAGCGGAGGTTTGGTAAATCATGACACTGCAAATTTAATTTAGCCTCTTATGCTCAAAACACCCCTACTGGTAAGCTAATAATTTGAAGAATTGCATCTTATTTTTGATTAAAAAAATAATCACGTCTTTCCGGTTGAAAAGAGATGGCAGAGTACACTTGACTCTTGGATACTAATTTTGTTTCAGAGCATAAAAATGAAGCCACCCTAAGTGAAACTATAACTCCATCTTACCCATTAGTTATCATCGTATTGTACTTATTTCACGCGCTAAAAGACGGGAGCGCGAAAAAGAACAAAATGTAAGCCAGCGGAAGCGGGATCACGGGATCAAACGTTCTTTGATTTCCCTTCTTACGCCGACTTTCCCCTCCCCGAGCTTAGCACCCCCGCCGGAAAAGAACGCCCGATAGCATGTTGCACACCAGTCGCCTTACCTAAGGGTAAATCGATAGATCTCTACTCGAAGCATAATAAATTTCGCACTAGGAAAGTTTTAAACGCATCCTCTAGAATTATGGTAATCTATTTAGCATCCTCATGCAGGAGTTCATTTGGATTAAACAAATCTAATGTAATCTAGCTCATTATAAAATTGCGTGTGATTATGCTTTAATTGTAAAAACACAAAACAGAGTTGATAAACACGTTTTTTTCTCCGATGAGGCAATGTCAAAGCCCAACGGCAAAGAAACCATAAGCCAAGAATTCCACAGATCATCATTATTTTGTAGGCTGACTGACACTTTGGATCCAACAATACATGTGCTCTTTGATCATCAGTTGGCTTAACATGCACTTAAATTAGAAAGGAATTTTCTAGGAATACAAAAAATCATAATTGAGCATGAACGAAAAGCTATACTCAATAAAAAAAACTAATAATAACATGTAAAGACTATTATTAGGACCTAGATGTCTTTCATAGCAGATTAAAAATGAAAGGAATGATACTATTTTCACCGCAAAATTCACACCAAGGTTCTCGTTAACCCAACCAAACCACAACAAATCACGTATAACGGTGAGGAGTTACACTGTTTGTAAAAAAAAGAACCGAAAACAAAATGATTTCTACATTATCATGAAAGATATGACCGCGTTACTTTTAAACTTTGCGTTAACAAAAAACGATCGAAAAAGTTCTAGTAACAGGGCGCAGAAGACTTTATCTTAAATTGGTAATTTAATGCTTATCGGCTTCCTTTCATTTTTATTAATAGTTAGAAATGGTCGTAAGCCGCCAAATTCTCTTGAAAAAAGATGAATTCTAATAACGTGAGACAAGTACAGGTGAAAGTGTTAAACTGACTGTCTGTCAAACATCTAACGTCTTTTCAAAGTTGTCGGCAACTTGAAGAGTAAGCTTTGATGCTCGGGTCAGTCTGTCCTGTAATCAAACGCCTTAATCTTATTTCATCTGTTTGGTTTATCATTTTTACCTGATTGATTCATAGATTAGCGAAACAAAATTTTGCGTTTTTTTTAGCTCAATTTGTACTGATAGTAATTTTGCAAGCCTGAGAAAAAGTCAATTATTATCATAACGCAGTGGGATCATTTCGCCTAACTTTGCAATTGTTGTACAGAACATTCCAAACCAGTAGACCACAAAGTTGAATATGAATTTCATCAAACTATCGTCTTTTAACCTTTACTGTCTCACACATTGCCCGAGAAGGATTTTTTCCTCAGCAAGGCACCTGTCAAATCTCTGTTGAATTGTTTCGAAAAGATACACAAAAATTATTTTATGAAAGCAAACGGAATAGTGTGAATTGATATTTAAAGAAAGTAGGAATGGGTAGATTGTGATTCT